ATCACTTGTCAGTAAGACATACGGACACTGCAGTCCAGGGCCCTGGTAGCAAGAAAAGATCTCAGTGCTTGCCATCTCAATAATGATAGGTAGTCCCTACTAACAAATGTTTGGAGGTTGTGCGCAATGTGTAATATGTGTGTGTAATAAGTATGTAATTTCAAAAAGGCCAAGAAACCATGCTAAAATATTGCCACGTGATATTACCTGGCAGAGTAATCATCTTTATCACTGCAAAACGTAAACTGACAACCACAGCAAAACATTTAGCTTATAATATTCACTGGACAGAAATCATTAAATCTGTGGATTAAAAAAAGAATCAAACTGTCAAGATATAGGCATATTACCAGCTCCATTTCAGGGCATCCAGAGAAGAATGCAGGATCAGAAATAGGATCAGAAAGAAATGACTGAAGTAGGTTTAACCGGAGACCAGTAGGAGGTTCCTTTGTCATCTTCACTCCGTTCTGCAGAACAGTTACTGGAAACTAGAAAAAAAAATAGCAAAACTTCAGAAAGTGTGAAAAAAATACTATCTTGTTATAAAAAAATACTGTTACTCTGTATTTGTTATATAAACAATATTTTAAAATGTGTTCTTGGCATTCAACCCCTTATAAATAAAATGCAAAGTGAAATTTTTGAACTTACGTGAAACAAAACCTTGGTGACAGCAAAAAAAACTTCTCATTTACACGCTTGCAAAATGCACTTACATTCACAAGGACACAAAATATCGCACAATATCAAAATATTACAAAGGAAGCTTAGTGTTACTATGTTTATAATTATTTTTTAAATGTCCCTTCTTGTATTTCAGAGAAGTTCTGTATTATCAGCTCGCTCAGGGATAAGAATATTTCCTAAAAATGTTATCAACTTTTCCTTTCCCCAAGTACAGAATGTTTGGGAATGCATGTACCTTTGGTGAAGGGTAACTAGTAAGCCAAAGTCTAAAGACTAGATGGCAGTTTTCCTCATTAAACTCTTCACATATTTTCTCCAGCACTGGCATCCAGGAGACAGCTAAATGACAATTTTGTAAACAAACCCAAGTTCCTTCTTCCATTGCCTCTTGAATCATTTTTGTAGCTATAGGTCCTTGTCCTTGTCCTAATGAGATGGACTGAAACTTACTTCCATCCATCTCTTTGTCACTTGCAAATTTCAGGAGGCCTTGAACAGAAAGCGTAAGATTTTAGCATTTCTTCATTAAAGAGAAGTTATGTCAGGAAAAATAAATATTTTAAAATGTTTATTACTATTTTGTTAAAACGTGCATAAAACAAGATATTATAGCTTTGATGCAGAGAGTAATATTTATTCAGTTTAAAATACCATTCCCATTTTTAGGAAGCACAGAATTTTACATGTGACATGATGCACTCAAATCTACTTGCACGAAACGCAAAATGATCCTCACTATGTATTGAAAAGGAAATCTGAAAAGCCATACTACGCTTTTGTTTTCTCTTTGTATACTTACTAGACATGGGATCTGCTCCTGGAGACAGCACAAATATTAAAGGGATTGTAGAATTTGAATCTAAGTAACTTTTTGTTATATCAAAAGGTGGTGGTTCTACAAATTTCTTCCCCAGTTTATCAATTACAAATGTTGTTATTGCTGGACTAATCTGGTAAAAAAAGTAAACACAAATTATTAACAGAAAATTAACATAACTGCATATTTGACAGCATCTTTTATGTACCATATATTAGTTAAATTCCTGAGACTACAGACACCTCTCTGATCTGCACACATTTAGGACCAGTCTTTCAGAATACATTGGAAGCAAAGGTTTCACTTCTTGTTGACAGACCCCTCTTTTTTTTTTTCTTACAAGAGGAATAATAATGTTTTTAGAAAATAAAAAGTAATACACCTCAAATAAACAATAATAGAAGTTACATAAAGGCTTTAATTAAGGCTTTACCTGACATGGAGGACCAGCACATTCCCCCTTAGGAAATATTAATATAATTATTTTTAATTAATTCTAAGAAGCAATTGCAATATGTGCTTTAAACCCTAACATTGTTCCTGAAGTACATGCAACACAATTTGCTAAGTACATCAAAGGCAGAATGTGTTAAAAGTTCACCTTGGCTGCTAAAAACCAACACATTTGATCTCTCCTTGCCCTGGAATCCTTTGAAAGCACATTGTACAAGATACTCTGCATATTTCTTCAGGCTAATATATCCTGCCCTCAAGTATATTGGGCGCACCAGTAAACAGATTAAATACGAACAAGAAAACTAGAACAATCTCTGAAAGATTAATTAAATCACTTCAGACAGAAGATCTCAGCTGATGCTTGTGGTGTCTGCATTGCTCAATTGAAAAATAAGAAAAGCATTTATCTTCCTAATAAAATACGACGAAGAACAGATTAGTTATTTTAACAACCAGTGCAAGCTTTGCCACAAGACATGGAACAGTCCACTAATGCTTGATAACAGATAATTTTACCTTGTCTGGTCTTATGCACCAAAGAATTATCATCTTTTGTAACTCATTTAACGTATTATTCCATTGTTCTGGTAATGGAAAGATTTGTGGCTCTTTGCTGTCATAAATTTTTTGCCATTCACCTACATTTTCAGATATGTGACTCCTAGAGAAAAAAAGCACTTACAATTACTGTAAATACCTGGAGTTTAATTTTTTTTATATTTATCAAAAGCCAATTACATTGTATTGTCACACAAGCCATGCCACATTTACATCAGCAAATGATCCTGCAGTTGAGCTTCCCCATACTGACGAGTGAAAAAAATCTTTTCCCACCATGTTGTTGTATACACGTAAGACTCCACCTGAACAGTTCTGAGTTGACAATAAGTTCTGCCTATTCCTCCAGCCAGCGTTGCTTGGACCTCTCAGAGGCCTGGGTGAATTTTCTGACTCTCATATTTCAGGAAAATACCACTTACCTGAAGAAAACTACCAGTAAATTCAACAAAGGAAAAGAATTCTTTTCATTCAAGCAGCATGCAGAGTATGTCCTCTGTAATGTGACAACACTTAGACTATTTAAAGGCTGAATTATCTTTCACGTTGCTGCTAAAACTCCAAAGGAGTAGAAACACAAAACAGCCCCAATTTCTACTAACAGAGCAGTGCTTGCACAGTAAGATCCAAATTCTCTAAATATTTAGGCTCGTCAGCTATTTATACACAAGACTTGTACAGTCATTTTGGCTCCAGAATTTAGGGTTACATTCTATTTAAATCCAAAGCAAAATTTTCCTGATTTTAGGAGATTAGATTTTACCAGAAAAATTCCTCCCCCAGCACTGCAGTGGACTTTTTCTACATATACTTCCTTTGGCCTTCATTGATCCCCTTGAAACACTGTTTCTCTACCAAAGAGACATTAAAAAAGAAAGTTTATTTAGGGAATGCCTCAGATAATTTAGGAAAATAGTTTAATTAAATAATATTATAATTAGCCAACTGGCTGACTTAAATACCTGGAGAAAACCTAATGATGTAAAAAGGGACTGGTTTTACCACTTTGGCATTCTGCCACGGCTTGGAAAGCACATAGGAAACACTTCTTTCAGCCTGTTACAGATGCTTTGGTCAAAAACAATTAAGGCTAATTCACATCAACATTTTACTATACCTTAGTCCTTTCAAAGCTGGGATTTCACTTGCACGACATAATTCATCCCAGCTCTTATCTGGTAGCCAAGATGGATCTGGATTCTTGTACTTATTCTTGAGACCCACACCCCCAGTTAGGAAGAACATAAACTCTTGATGTTCTATTTCATTTTTATCTCTATATTAAAAAAGATAGACAATATTCAGCTATTGAGATACAACTTTACATAATATAAAGAGTTGTTTAAAATTAATTACACTTCACTGCCATTTAGTAATACTTCTACTGCAATAACAGCTGAGATTAGATTAAGTATTCCTTCCAGTTAAAAAACTGTATTGTCAAAACACCGATTAAGACTGCTGTATGGGTTTGAAGAGATAAATAGTATATATCTACTTATTTGTTTTTAAAAGGTGCAATTATTCCTGATTGTTAAAGTCTTTATAAAAAACAATACAGTAGCCTTACAACTTGGCCCAGAAAGAATGGTCCATGTAAAGTTGTGTACACATTGTAAATAAATAAGTATGCACATTATGGTCATGATCGTGCAATTTTGAACTTATTTTTCTTTTCACAACGTATTCACACAAAATAACAAAGAAAACCCAGGAGGACAAAACCAGAGCCAAGGGAAGAGAGAAGATTGCAACTGAGATCTCACGGTGTATGCAAAAGGATAAAAGAGTGAAAAACAAAGACAAAAGCCTAGAAGAGCTGCTGGGATGGCACAACAACTGTTTCTAAAACCTTTTCTTAACAGCAATTTTTCTTGACATAAGGATGGTATGGAGCACTACCTAGGTCCTCTGAATGGAGTCAAAGATGTATCGTTGACAAAACCACTGATTTTAATAAGCATAGGAACACTCTTTTCATAATGTGTTCAAATATGTATGATATGTAATTTCATATGTATATGTATACATGCACTCCTGTACTCTTTCACTTGTAATCACTTGTTATCAGTATTAGAAAACCCCAAACATTCATGATCTTACTCCAAAGATTACATTATCAATATGCACAAGAACGTGTTCTCATCAATACTTTTTTCCATTATAAGAAAATAATTCATTTCTGCCATTAAGGGACTTCACAAAAATGAGCTTACATGAGAAGATTACAACACAGCAAAAACGAGAAGAGCAGCTTGTCCTTTTCAAACAGTGAACGACACACATTGCAGTACAAAGCGTATGTAAAGTGGTCATTTAGATACCGAAGTCGCTTCTCCAAAATTTTGGATTTGTTACTAAAAAGAAAAAAGTGAGAAACTGAGTCTTCAAATTTAATAACTTAGGCAAATCTAAATCTATTTAGGACAGGAGAGGAATTCTACTAGGCCTACATGCTCCACAGGGGTCTCACACACCCATTTTCACAAAATTTCAATTATACTTTATGGTTTACAGCTCTGTTCAAAGTCCCAAGCAAAATAATGAGCCAAAATAAATTTGCCAGTTAAGCGGTGGCACTCAGTTTTCACAATGGAACCTAGCTCAAAACTGGACTTGACCCTTTCTGTAAGCCATATTCTTAAAAATACTTACATAAAGCACATGCTTACAGTTCATTGCTTGCTCAAATAGTAACTAAAATGAACATTTACTTTATCAACAAATCATATTTTGTTTCAGATACCTGCATTTACTGAGTGACAAGAGGCAAATGGTTTCAAAAGGGAGGGAACTGTTCATAAGAAGAGAAGGAAAACAACTTATTTTCCACCAGAAAGACTGTATTTACCTATCATGAATAGAGTTGATGAAGAGGTTGACAAACCAATGAAGGGAGTACTGGTACATGGGATCAATGCTTGCCAAGTCTGCAATACTAAAGAACAGCACCGATGAATGTTTTGCAATAGGTCGATAAGCTTCTCGAGATTCGGCTATTTTAAGTTCCGTTTTCTCTGCAATCTAAATATCAAAAGTAGTTGATAAAGAAAAGCTTTCAATATTCTCTTTTGTACAAAAATATCACTACTTAATAAAATTATTAAAATAATCTGGGTTTGCATGCCTATATTAGTCACCCAGATTATTAATGTCTCCCTGAATATTTTTGTCATTTTAAAAAAATTGTGTCTTCCTTTACTTTGTTACTTTAACTTCAGAATTTGTTATTTTTCATTCAGTCCTTATAGACAGATATATATTAAAATATTTTTAATTAAAAACTGCATAAACCATCAGTGAAAGTTCAAGACCGGATCCAATTTTATTTCTCTTCATATTTCCCAAGCACAAAACTTCCTCCTTGTGCTTTGCCACTAACTCACAGTCCTTCTGCTGGCCGCAATTTTAACTTTTGATCTCTATATACTGTTAAGAAAAACACACACACACACTCTTACCTGCTCTTTTTTCGTGATCTCATTAGCCATTATTTTTGCAGAATCCAAGACCTTGATAGCAGTCTCGTCTTCCAGAATATCTCCTTCAGACGACTGCAGGGTTTCTAAAATTTTCTTCTCAGTTTCTTTTAGGTGCTTTTTATTGGCTGCAGATTGAAGGATGAGAGCATTTCTTTCCTCTTCCAATTCTGGTCTAACAAAAAAACCCAACACATGCAACAGAAGCAGTCAATGTACATCTTCAACTGACTGTAAAGAAGGCTCATGAAGATGACTCCCTCTTCCTACAGTAAATATTTGTGAATATTCTCTTCAGTTTAAAGAGGTTGTTACTGCTCAGCACACATGCATAATTCTGAGTATAGATTTTTTGCAGAACTTCAGTTTAGTATTTGGAAATGACGGTCTAATCTTTAATGTCTTAGTATTTTGCACATGTCAGCACATCCCAGTTATCCCTCATTATATCCCTGCTGCCCGAAAAAACATCATGTGACATGTGGAATACATCTACTGCTGGAAACACTTTTTTAGCAAACAGAATTTAGCCCGATTACATAGACAATTCTGTGCAACCCAGAAACCACTTCTCTGTATCTCTGTGAGGGTTCAGATAAGACCCATAGTCAGTTTCAGAGGTACTGCGCATTTATTTCATATGAAATTAAAACTAAATCCTCATAACTCTGCATCCTTGTCTGGCAACTCAGTCAAATTGCAAAAATTACAATAGTGATTTAAACTTCAAATAACATTTGAAGTGTGTAAACACTTTCCTAACATTCAAGGAATATTTCAGGGGAAATTTTTCATGAAAAAAACCAATTATTTTACATCTGCTATTTTAATTAACTTGTGGACAGTTACTCCACCGTGAACACGACAATCTCTTTCCATGACAAACTTTTCAGATATGACAACTAGAAAAAAAAATATTTTTTTGGTTTTTTTTTAATAAGCTGTTAGTAAGCAACATTTACACCATGTAACATTCATTTTGCTTTACAATAAATTCATCTCTCATTTTCTTGGAACTATGCCACACAAAAAATTAAAAGGCTACTTGCCATAGGGAGAGACACTTACCTCTCTCTTGCTACGACAACACCCAGCAATTGGTCTTCAAGTTCCTCTGGTGTTATCATAAAATTAACTAAAGAAACTTTCGTAGCAAGTTCAGGCATATAATGTGGATTCCTCAGTTTTGTGGTAATAAAAAACTTGAAATCACTGGAATACTCGACAACCGTCTCACCAAGCCTGATACACTCCATGCCTCCTAAAGTTATGGTGAGACATGGTAAGAAACCATAATCTACTTCAACTGCTTACAGAAAGAAAATACTTCTGTGATTAAAAACAAGCAAATTTCTTGTCAATGACAAATTTCCTGATAAGTGAAAATAAATAAATAAATAGATCAATCTCTAAAAAGGTCTCACAGACTTCAGTGAGGCCACATTTTATTCTTAGCAGACAAAACTGAGTCAATTAGTACTGCCATACTTTCAATTGTGCATAATGTGCATATACCGTACTGCAGATGGTAACAGAGGACTTATTCTGGAATTATTCTCAGCTGTGGTATTTTTACAGACTACTCTTTCCTTGAGTTACCTGACTGAAATGGCAAAAAAAAAAGTGTTTGAGTTTTGTATGAACATGACAAACAGAAAAAATAAACTATGTAAAAAGGAAGGAAAAAGCATTTGTGTCTGTCTGCATTCTTCTGTCTTTTTCCAGCAGGAAAACAAAGAAAAGTCGAAAAACAATTTCAGAACTACTTTGCAAATTTCAGAGAAACACGAGAAAATCAGCCTTAAGCAAAATATCTTGACAGCTTTTCTTGATTTGTGCAAAGTTTAGTAAATGTTACTATTAGATTAAAACATAGGAAAATGAACAAGCAAAACACATTTTCATTGAGAATCTTCCCTTTGCAGAGTCAAGCATCTTCATTTAGTCTCCTGTAGTGACCACGTGACATTTTTCACATAAAACCACTATCATGTGATATAGGAAACATACTTATTAAAAAAGAAAATAAAACTTCAGGCTGTTGTGAAGTTACCTTCCTCTTACCACAGGCAGCAGTAAACCAGAGAGCAATAAGAAAAACATCAGGCAGTACCATAGACTGCAAGATGAACATTAACGGGATCTACCTCAGGGTTCAAAATTAATTTTGATGTACCTTGTTTAAAAGTCTGCTTAAGTAGCAGAGGTTCAAGTGATGGATCTAGTTCTTCTCCAACATTTTCTAGCAGAAGTGGAGTTCCAAACTGAACGCAGTTCTCCAGGGTACTCATATAATCTGTGTCACTGATCTTGATAACATTCAGGCGGTTTTCCTTCTCAAAATTCTTGATCCATTTATTTGCTTGACCTTGAGGATCAATCATTAATGGCCTAGAAGATACAAGACAGTTTTCTCAGTGCTTGCCGGAGTTTTTTTAAACTTTTAAAATATTTTAAAACGTTTCTGTGTCAGGCTGTCAAGGAAAAAGGAACACAGTTCTGATTCTGTTATTTTAAGAGATCAGTTGAAAAAGGAGGTATAGGTGTTTTATCATAATTTGAAAAGTAACACCAAAACCAGTTCTAAGACTTGCAAAAAATGTTAATAACATTTTCTCATTAAATACACCAGAATGCAGAATTCTTTTAAAATTTTGTTCTGCTTCTCTCCTGGAATTCTCAGTATCCAGGATAAAATTACAAAAAAAAAATTAAAAAATCAACAATTAGTTGCAATTTAAATCTGATATGTTGGTATAACAGCTAGTATAAGACTGGAAATGTAAGTAGGGCAGCAAAAGGTGACAATACTTTATCTTTTTGCAACACATTTGTCCCCTTTGTACTTGCTGATTTCACCTATATGGATGTATTTTACGAAGTCAGGCCTGAATGATACCAAACACCTCCTCTAACTGCAGCCTCAGAGAACTAATTGACATTCTAAAAATCGACTTATACACCGTAATCTGAGTATGATCTGAATCTATCACGAAGACTAATTCTTAAGAGAAAACAAATCACAGGAATATCACTAGAAAGTTTTATAATCTCGTATTTCTACTGAGTGTAGATTATTTGCAGATAGCTATCAATTTTTAAAATACTGTGATACCATCCTTTGAATAAAATTTCAGTTGGAATTAAAAAAAAAAGTTATTAGCAGTCCTAAAAGAATCCTTTATATAGCTGTGAGATTCACACACAATAAATACCTGTAAAACAAAAATGTCATCTGATCACATTGTAACTACAAGAACCTGCAGTGGACTGTGGTATGTGTGGACCCAGCAACATACATAACCTGAACCTAATCATTAAAAATGTAAAACATTAGGATTTCTGTGCAGTTCTAAAAGTGATTCTTGCAAATGCTTCATTAGCTCGTAATAGAACAAGGTACAACATTTAAAGAAAATAAAAAGAAGAAAAAAAGAAAACTTTATCCAAGAGCACTGCACCTCTTGAAAGCTTTCAACTAACAACATACACAAATCTCTGAAGTGTTTTACATCTTAAATTTCAAAGAAGCTGAGTATAGATTTCACTACTGCTTCCAACTGCTGTCTCTACAGAAGCTACATTGTCTCTAGGTATTTAGTTTGCTTTTATGTTTTTTCTCAAAATAAAAGGTGAAAACTTGTTTGGATTTGAAAATTAAGCCTTTTTGTCACTTACCAACGTCTTGAATTGTCAACAATGACCCCATTGTCTACAGAAAATATGTCAGTTGGCAAACCAGCAATATTCCAAGCTCTTATTTTTATTGGGTCACCAAGAGTCTGACTCAAAGAGAAATTCTCAGAACAAGGGATATTTTTCTCCTGGGGCGGGGTGGGGGGGAAGGAAAGAAAAGAAAAGAAAACCCCATTTATCTTTACTCCATGCTTCTTTATATCTTTTATTAAATGCCACTTCAATTCAAAATGACAATATGCATTTCCTTTTAAGCATTTGAAGTAGGTCAAGTATAATTACAAATTCTGGGAAAAATAAAATAATAGCTTCATAGCTACCTATATTTCTCCACTCTCTCTCCAAATTTTGTACAATCTGTCTAGGTTTTTTGTACAGTCTAAAAGTGGGGTATTTTTGTGATATAAAGTTATGACAATGCATTATCTTAAGAGACTCACACAGCTGAAAATAATCTAATGACTGTATCTTCCATTAACTCAGTACAGTAATCCAATGCCGATTTGCTACTGTTCAATGTCACAGTCAGTGACTTCAAAACACTTGATTTATGAATGATGGTGTTAGTACAGGTATGTTGGAACTGTCACTCTGCAAACAGCATAATCAACCATTTAATTAACATGTAAATATGTGTCAGTGTAAGTCATTATAGATTTTTTTACATTATACATAACTGCATTTTAAAGTTAATTCTTTCACATAAAAGCAAAAAGAGAAAATTCTGATATTTTATTATCTAATAGTCAAGTCTTACAAAGTCCACAAAGCGCTCCTGTTTCCAATATGCTACTTTAAGTCTAGAGTAAATTCACTGATTTAATTAAATTCAGATTTACAGAATATTGGATCAGCCAAATTTATCACATTGATCTTAAAGAGTTTTACTAGGCTAATATTAAAGAAATCACAAGTGATTTTTGAGACCTTATGCAGTAGCCTGAAAAAAAGCAAACACTTATTTAAACCTAAGATAACCTTCCAACCTTGCATAGTTTGCTCCAATCTTCGGTACATTCTTGTCGAAATGCAGCAGTAAAAGCTCCCAGATAAGCTATCACACCAGCTGACATCAGAACATCTCCTGTCAAATTATCATATATGTCTTGAAGATCATTTGCAGCATTACACTATCTATGACAAGCATAAAATGCAGAAAAAAATAGTGCTGAAAACTCCACATGAATGATACTGACGATAAAAATCAGCCTTTGTTGTTGTGGTTTGTCTTAACTTCAGGTGGAGAAGAACACTGTGTTTCTGTATTTCATTCTCATTTTGAAGTCTTTCAATACAATTCTCCCAGTGTTGCTGTCCACACTTTTACATTACAAACAATTAGGAATCTTTCAAGGACTGTTGCACTCTTCAGCAGTACAGCCCTCCCACAGAGATACAGCATTAAAGGCCCAGGGAACTTAAGCTCAAATTCTATTTCTACAATGGATGTTATCTGACATGCAAACTTTAACCTGACCTTGATTTCTCTCCACCAAGGCCTCCAGTCAACTTCTCTGCTCGTTCTAGTTTTTTAGCGCACAGATCCACCTGGAATTCTAAGCGAGCCTTTTCTTCAGTTTTCTCAGTGAAGGTTCGTTCCAAAGCAGCCAAATAATTTTCAACTGCTGCAAGTTCTTCTCTTTTCTGGTTTAAGACTATCAGTGTCTCTGCTAAAGACTGCTGTGCCTCTCTCAATCGAGCTTTCTTGGGTGCAACCACCTATTCAATTACAACCAATACACAAATGCTTAAAGCATATTTTTTGTAACTGTATTATTTAATACAACACTTAGGGTGAACATACCAAGCACAGGGAAGGTATCATAGCACTGAGGGACTAGGATCAAAAACACACCTTTGCAATCCTGTCGTACACGTCCATTGCCATAATCCATTTACATAAACCTGCTGCCGCCGAGGAAGCTTTAGCCACCTTTTGTGGATCAAACTCAGGATTAGGCAAATACTTAGCCTGAATCTTCTGCATGACAGCTGCCTGGATAACAAAAGCATTATAGCTTATCAAAGCCTCGTGGCTGACACTGTATAATTACACTGATTGATTACGACTTCTGTACACAATGAAATAGGAAAGAACTAAGCAGTATTAATTGTGGCAGAAACCACTGCTCATTTGTTTCCTTTGATTTTCCTATCACACTTTGTGGTCTTTTCTTGTTATCATCTTAATCCTCTCCTTTACAATAATGCATCTGGCGTGTCTTCCATGTGGCAGCTACCTAAGTGTTAAGAGCATTACAGTCACAAAGAGGTCTTAATTTACACTGTCCCTTGTGCAAAACATGCCAATTTAATTATTTGCTATCTTTTCTCAAGACACAGCTGTTGGAGATCATTATAAAAATTTATTTCTACTAATGTATGACAAAATCTACATTTATTATATTGCCTGTGCCTACTTTTGGGGATCAGTTTTATAAAGGGACAAGCATATTCAATTTCCACTGAACTGGGCAAACAGCAAGAAGCATACCCTTTGATAGCAAGATCTTTGGGGACATGGTCATATTTTAAATAAAGTTATACAGCTAGTGCATTTCTGCATGTATTATATATCTTCTAGTATACTTAACAAAATATTACCCATTTTTTCAGCATTCATTCAATCAAAAAAACCAATTAGAAACAGCCATTAAGAAGGGCACTGATGTGTGCAGTTATTTAAAAATAGAAAAAAGATTATAATGCCAGAGTAATTGATTAAAAAAAAACTAGTACAAAAAAAGCCATACAAAGGTTGGACAGAGATAAAATGGTTCCACCAAAAAAGCCCCCAAAACCAACAACAACTAACAAACTCAACCAAAACCCAAAATATTATTAATATTATATTATCATATAGACCGTTCCTACTCCTTCCAAGGCACCTGCTTATGGCCATGTTTGGACACAAGATAATGGACAGGATGGACTATTTACTCCAATATAGATTTTATGTGTTATTTTTACCTTTTGATGAGATACTACCTATAAATTGTAAATTAGAAACATTTGTGCACAGGACATTTCATTTGAAGAGAAGGCAGGCTGTATAGAAGCCTTAGAAATTAACAAAAGGAATTCTGAAACCTTCTGAAATGCTGTTTACAAGGCTCACCATGAAGAAGCTTGACTCATTTGCCATAACCGTACTCATCCTGTAGAGGTACCTTATCACCTTGTAAAGATCCTTGGCCATGACAGAAGTTGACTAACTTGGGAGAAACGGGCCCTCTGATACAGTATTTTCTAATTTTTTTTCCCCTGCAAGAAAGTGTCTACATGGTAAAAATCACTGAAAAATTAGACAGAAGTCTTACTGGAATATTGTCCTTGTCATACTCTTTCAAATCCTTTAAGAAATTCATGTCACCAAGCAGTTTCTTGCCTGGACCCCAGTAATCCAAAATCTACAAAACACAGTGGGAAATAACTTTTCAAGCTTTAAAACAAACACACACACACAAAGTGACACATCTCTTTTAATTAAAACTCACACATATTTAATACTGATGACTTTTTTTATCTCCTTGAGACACCAATAAAGGAGCAAGTCTATCAGATCAAACATTTCCTCCAAAACATACTTAATGCCAAAAACTGAACAGCGTCTCAAGGAATAGTTATGTATTATCTATGATATGTATATAAGCCAAGCTGATTAAACGTGCTCTCTTTGCACATTACGAAACTTAGAAATTCTGGAAGTTTTCAGTGAAATCACATATGGAGGCTGTAAGTACTTGTTTTCTTTAGTGGATCTTGGGGTGACGCTGTTTATTAAACAAGTGCTCTATGTTGAGAAGAACATGACTTACACTTCTATTTGAAACTAGTATCTACCATTTTACCTTGCCTCCAGTCCCTGAAGGGTCTGGAATTCTTTCAGGTTTTATGTCTTTCATGACACAGACAGCAGCCATGACAAGTTTGACACCAGATGGAGGATTTTTCATTGATTTGACAATTGATATATCAGGAGGCTAAAATAAAAAACAGATTTAAAAAAATTAAAACAAATGTTAGGCCTTTAGGGCAACTAAGATAAATGAGCTAACAGAAAAAAAGGGGAATTATAACACTGTTATCAATGAACATAATTATAGAGGACTTTTAGAAGGGATGATACAATCTAAGCAAGAAAATTAACAATATCCATGAATGTATCCTACGCAGGGGAAATAAAAATTAATTAAATGCTAGCAACTGTGAACTAATATTTAATTAAAATAATGTTTTAAAAAGTCCAGGTCAGAATATTTTTTATACACTTCCATAACTGTGACCTAGGACATCTCAAATACTTCATAACTCCTACTAAACTACCTCTTACTACACTAAATTCATGCAGGACTTTCTCAACAGTACTGCTTTTAAACCATGTGCAAGGTTTAAAAGGTTTGCAAGGTTTGTCCATCAACAAGGACAAAACCTTTAAACCAAAGATTCAGATGATTCTTAGGCATAAACAAATGCCATGTTACACGCTGGTGGTCAACATTAACTTAGCTGAAGAGGAAATTCAGC